TGATATGAAATAAGATGACTGTTCTTATGATTTTAGAGCAGAAATATTTCTCATTAATTCGGCTTTTCTAACACGAATTCCATTTCTCAACTTCTGCTGGAATGATTAGCAACATCTCCACCAACTTTTGTGTTCAATGAGATTTCATAATTTGATGAAGCATATAAAATACGCTGGCTTTTATGAGACTGAAATTATTTTTTCCCAAGCATTATTTCCAAGCAGGAATTTGGCATTTCCCAAGCTTTCCAGATAGTCGATGTTTTACTGTATAAATTAAATAAAAAAAATTTCTCAATAATGAGTATGATCAGCCCAAACAGCAGTACAAGCCTGGCAGCTGTGTCATACTATACATGATGTCAATGAGCTGCATGAGTAACAATGCCCATTGACTACATACAATAGTTCTAAGCCCCTCTAGGGAGGAGGTTTCAAGCCAACAACATGTGTCCCGAGACCATCAATGCTGAATGGGATTAAGGTTGAGACAGTATGCTAGCCATTCCATTCGGCCATTTGTCTCCAAGAAATTGGTGCACAAAGCAAGTAGTGGGATGGCAGGCATTATCCACTTACAAAATGAAGGTATCATCAATTGCAGCAGCATACAGACAAACAGTAGGATCCGGTATGGAATGTCTGTACCTCTAAACATTGAGAGTTCCATGTTACAGCACTTACAGGTCTGTGTGCCCACCTAAAGATACTCCCCTCTTACAACAACACTACTTCCAGCGTAAGTATCAGTTTTGAATATGTTAGATGGAAGATATCGAGCTTTGCTTCTCTCCATATGTAAACAAGTCGAGAATCGCTCTGCAAAGCAAAGCAGGGCTTATAAACAAACAGAACAGACTTTAACTAATAATCATTTCACATGGACTATGTGCCCAAGTCTCTTCGGTGGCAGGAGGTAAGCAGGGAGCTCAGTGGCGGTCACATAATATACAGACCTCTTTCATGCAACATTTTGCATACTGTCATGCTGATGTCCTTCTTGTAGCAGAAATAAATATGGATCTAAGCTGAGATGGAATTTGCAATCCTGTTGCTGTGTGCAGTAAGTCATGAACACCATTCATTTGCATAAGTGGTGACTCTTGGCCTATCTTCAGGTAGGTTTTCAAGAGGCTGAACAAGTAGTTAGAAATTGATTCTGCAACTGGCTTCCCATAGAACAGTTGACTTTGAGCTATCTTACAACATCATATTGTCATTGACCTGTTTCTAATGAGCCTGTGGCTCCACAACACAATTCTGCTGGCAAATGTTGCTTCAAACTCATTTTTACACTTTGGCTATTTGGGAATGCTTTAACATACCATTGTTCATTGCAGAACACTGCTCTCCTAAGCAACTGGTTTTAAGCCATATTGTATTTACGTAAAGTGATGGCAGTACCACTCTTCTGCATAATGCTGCTTAATGCAGCTTGCTTTTGTTTGTAACATACTTAAATTTCAAGAATTTTGAACTGCTTTTAACTGACTTAAAAGTTGAGCAACAAACTGAAAAATCATGGTAATGATTTTTCAATTTTTTGCTTAACTTTTGGAAACCAGCATAGTTTCTGTGCTGTTGACTTGCTTGTAACCTGCCATTCTGCCTATCTTTGAACATATTTCAAATTGTAATGGTATTGATGTAGTTCTGCAAGAACAGGTGTGATTAAGTGTGCCACTTTATCTGTGTTAGTTTATAATTATTTGTGAATGAGAATAAAAAATTTTAAATAAGCTATCATATCTGCAACTAAAATTGACATGACAATACATGATTCACAATTATGATGTCTATGACTGACAATTTTTTCCTTTCCGTTTAATGATGTTATTTATCTCGCCCTTAGGAATTTTTGTACGATGGATTTCACAACATTTTTGAATTACAAAACAGCAATATTTATCTTTGGGAAATGCAAAAACTTATCCTTCAGTTCACAACTTGTTTACATGCAACATTTTGAAAGAAGAATAAATTTAAAAGCAGTAAACAGTGTTTCTTATTTCAAATATTAAGCCATTGTCAGAAATTTTTATTAAAAAATATTTGCTTTTTTTAAAATTCTTCACAGAAATAATTCTAAAAAGGTGTAAACACCCTCTATAATATTACAAGTTAGCTACATTCCAGTCTGAAGCTTGTTAGTGTTTTCTAGAACATGAATTAAGTTTCAGATGAATAAAATTTCGATTTTTGAGAAAATTTACATTCTTCAATATTTTTCAAAATAATCTGCATAGAAATCCTCATCATTTAATTTCTAAATTGATATATTATTTTTATTTGCATATAAATGCAAACATTTCACTCTTCAATTTATATACAGCCCCCTGAATATGATCTCCAACTTCAACATCAAATGTCTTGGTCAGTTTTATTGTATGGGAAACACACATTTTCTTTATTTATTTATTTTTATTTTTATAACCTTTACAAATTTTTTAAATATAAGTGTAAGAATCAGAAGAATATATAAAATAAACCAGACGAATGTATTTCATTTCATAATTTTTAGAAAGTCGATTTCTTTATATTTGGAAACACCAAAACATGAATATTCACATCATTTTAAACATTTTTGTAATTGAACATATATGTCAACAGTTATGAAGACAAAGGCCTGATAAGGACTTTTGTTGACATATGTGCCATACATGCAAACCGATTTCATTAGTGAAATTCCATAGTTTCTAAATAATTTGATTTCATATTTTTGCTAAAAATTTAACTAGTTTAAGTATTATTTTAACTATTAAAATTTTTACTGTTATTTTTGCTAACTATTTAAATAGTTTAAATATATTACTTTTTTTATCTTCTTCTCTGGGAAAAACTGAACAAAATAGTGGTACCATGAGTTTGTGCTATAGTTCGTTACTTTAAAATAAGCACTTCAAGGCCATTGCTTGTCTCCCATTAGCGATCGTAGCTCGTGTCATCATCACTCCACAGCATTTATTTTATTCATGCTATTTGAGACTATAGTTCAAGTCAGCCTGCATTTGCATGTTTTTGGAGACAAACTTGCTAAATGGAAAAAATTTGGGAGGGGAGATTTGCAAGTCAACTTTTTTCTGCAGCTGTTGTTCACGTAGTTACGAGTAAAATCGTGTTTTGGAAAATAGCCTTGAAGTTCCTGCTTTGAAGTGACAGGCTATAGCAGGAGGTTTAACCATAGTTAGAATTTGTATCATTACATAGATTATTTAACCAGGTAACTGATATGAGGGTTATCTGCTTAATGCTATCTGAATTTGGCAAAAAAAAAAAAAAAAAAAAAAAAATGAATCCAAGAATTTGCTGTCATTTATTATTAGTGAAGATTTTTGTACTAACAGACATTTTAAGTGCCTCCATTTTATAAAGGTACCATAGTTGCTAATGTCCATGCTTAGTCCCATGTTTGGATCTGTAACCATAAGTTTCTAACATTAAAAAATTCAAGTATAATATCTTCTGAGGTACTGCTGGCCAAGGCCATCTCAGTCAGTCTATGCCATCTGGACCTATTCATGGCAGTACTACTTTGATCTACTCTACCTACCGTATGTATGGTATTGTTGCATTTTTTTCTTTATGTACATTCATATGGGTTCATGTGGATTTGGAGTAAATAACAAGAACGACACTTGATGAAATATCGAAACACACTTTATTGGCAGTATTATTCAAGACAGCTACAAAATCACATTTACAGTAGTCAATATCATGTTTACACAGTTGTTGGAGATCTGCTATAAACACACTGAAACTCAGCGACACAGCTTAACGTACTCTCGAGACTCTCCACGCTACTACTCACGGTGCACTCGACGATACACTAGAGTACAGCTCCCGACTCCTCGGTTCAGTCATTTCCGGAGCTCAACACACTCTCTCAATGATGCATTAACCGCGATACAAGGAGACTCAGTGCACTGGACGACCCACTCAGCACAGGCTGATCAACTGTCAACTCAATTGACTTCGCACGGACTAACTAACTGACTGTCTGCATACCAGCAGGGTTTATATAGCTTTTGGCTTGTGGTCGAGAACATTCTGGGCTAAACCAGTAAGAATTTGTTCCAGAAGGTTCTCTATTCGTCCATGGCATATCTCCAATTTTGTCGCCAAATGAACGATTTGGCAATCCTGCCTTCCATTGCCATTTGATGGCAACCCTAAACCTGCTTTGCGGGGTGAAGCTATCTTACCGTGCCTGGACATTTCGTAACAGTATTAATATTATCTTCAACAACATCAATTGGTGGCCTTCCTTGCTTTCTAGCTGCCATAGGTTTGGTAAATGTGAGTTGTTTTACTGGGTTGGCTTTTCCCCATGTGTTTCCCCATTTACCTTGAAAAGCATACAGTGGAGTATTTGCAAAATTATGGGATCCTGACATCAAGAAAAGTATGTGTTGATACACACAATTTTTTACTTTATTTAAAAAGGCTAAACAATGGTGGTGCAATATGAAAAATTATTGCAAGTGATTTAAGTTTTTTATATGCTATATCTGTAACTTATATATCTCGGTTTGCTAAAAAACAAATAAACAAATTATCAGTTCTTTAAAACTTCTGGCTGGACAACTGGCACAAGTTTGGTGGGATTTCTAACAACTTTCATGACCAGATAAGATGTTTCACCATATTTAAAGCCTATGAAAATGCATTAGTATTTATGTCTGAAACGCCTTTTTTCCCTCCAAAATCTTACATAATGTTAAATGTAAGTTTTTGATATTCAGATTGATAATAAATAAGAGGACTGTTTTTGTAATTTTAGATTGGAAATTTCTTCCATTCATTTACTTTTCTACAATGAATTGCACTTTTTATACACTAATTTATACATACTTTTCACTTATCTGGCATTCGTGAGCTTTCAAGTAAAAATATTTTCAGGTTTTTTAAATGGCAGAATTCAGTTATATGTAATTTTTTTTTAATAATCAAAGTTTATATAAGTACACACTTTATATTTTATGTTATTTCTCTTACTTTAGCACTGCAAAGCAGGCTTCAAAAGCAACTTGAAGAAGGGGATGAAGAGAGGACACGATTGCAACAATTAGTCTTACGATTAGAAAATCGTCTTCAGAAATATACCATGGAAGGAGAAGAGGTGTGATTCATAATAAATGTTATGCAGTAGTATGTCATGTACTATATATTATTTTATTTGGAATGCTTTGGATTTATTTCTGTTTTATAAAGCATAAAATTGTTTCATGCATTATTTTGTGTTATTAAATATGCAGGATCGTTGGGAAGTTCAGCAAATGAAGGCAAAATTATCTGTACAGCAGAAATATTTAGATGAAGAACATAAAATGAATTTGTTTCACATTGAAAAAGAAAAGGAAAAACTCCGTTTATCTCAGGTACTTTCAAATTCTTTTACCTGTCTTTACAAATAAATAATTGTATATTTATGTTTTTATACATAAATAAAGTTCATTATAATTTAATATATTTCATTTTCTTCACCATTTCTTATATCTAATTAAATTCATCATACATATGATGTATTATTATCATTAAGAGTGGAACTGAACTCTTGTACTCAAAATCTGTCTATCTCAGTGTGTGTGTGTATAGCATATATATAACTTGTATAATATAAATTATTGCTTACAAATTTTCAAAACATTAATTTGGATTGCTCCCTCATCTCTGTTATTTATTGCGTTAATTACAAGCTATAGATTTCATATATTATAATTAGCTGTCCCAAAGCTTTGTCGAATGTACGATACATAAGTAAATTATCAAAAATCAGTGTTTCATTTTATGATTGAAATAAAGTATTGAATGATAAAAGAAAAATAGCTATAATTAGAACACACAGTGGATTTCTATAAATCATATCCCATAAAATAAAGAAGAGAATTTTATTTATTTTGTTATAATCATTTATATGATAATGTGAATATTTATAATTGGCTTTTAATTACAAAATTTTACTTTTTAGGATTCTTTGCTGCATGAACAAAAAACTATTCTATTGCAATTGGCACAAGAGCGACAACAGCTAACACAAGAAAAAATTAACGTGGAATTCTTAGCAAAGAGGATCAAAGAAGAAGAAGCACGGCTAAATATTAGAAAATTAAAGGCAAATTTTCCTTTATTAATTAAAAATAAAAATTTTCTTATAATATTTAAACTTATATTCTGTTTTTAGACATAAATAATAATTTATTTTTAGATATAATAATGATGAATAAAACATCAAAACTCTGATTTGAATAAACAAATGCCTATTATGAATATTACTATTTAATGGTTTCATCTCCTTCCTTGGTTACCCTTTTGGTAAGCTGAAAATTATTTTGGCTTAACATTTGATGTTTATACCAGTGGCTTATCTAGCATGAAAAGTGCTTCTGATGCTAATTTCTTCTACCGCTCATGAGTCATGGGGTTCCAAGTTTCAAATTTTGAAGTTGAAATCATAGACTTTCACCGTACCATTTCAAAGACCTTTGCACAACCAGGGCTGACTGGTTAAGACCACAGAATACTTGGAGTTCATTCCGGATTTGATCCTAGGGAAATGGGCTGGCATTTTTGTCAGTAAGAAGTTGCATGGTTGATTTTCAGGGTTTTCCTCATGTCTAACCTAAATATGAACCAGTTTTGTTCAGAAAATCCTCTTCAGAAGCATCCCTTCCCATATTCAGATAATATTTATCTGATTTTGATATTAAAAAACTTAACTTTCAAGGGCACTTTCAGTTTTAGTATACCCAAGGAATCAAAAACAAACAATTTTTTACTTGTTCAAAACAAGTAAAAAATCGCTTAGTTCAAAATACTCATCCGACAGGAATAAAAGTTTCTATTAAGCAAGTAGAAAAAATTAAAAAGAGCAAAGTACTAATAGAAGTAGCCTAAAAGAATGACATGGCACTTATTGAACAGGTAATTCAAGAAAAAAATAAAAAGCGTAAGGATACAGTGGAGGTTAAAATACCCGATAAATTTAATTCCAAAATTATAATATACAGTGTAACTGAAGAACTTACAAAAGAAAGTCTTGTAGATACTGTAACAGACACAAAATGATGTATATCTAAATTCTGTGTTGGATGTAAAATTTTCATTGAAAGGAAAATTTGGTAACAGTAGTGTGCTGGAGGTAGATCCCAATTTTTTTCAATTTCACTTATAGTTAAGAATCAACATGTACATCTCAAATGGACTAGGAATATGGTACGAGAATTCCTTAGATTGACTCAGTGTCAGAAATGCTTTAACTGTACAAGGATACTAAAAAATATAGCAATGCCGAGCAAAGATGCTCTAGATGCAGAGACATGGGACATATTGGAGTAGATTGTTCACTTGTGGAATCTTGTTGCATTAATTGTAAACAACAGGGTTGCCACGCTACCTGGAAAACCGGAAAAAGTCAGGGAATTCGGAAATTGACCAAAAAATTCAGGGAAAAGTCAGGGAATTTAAGTGTTTTAGTCAAAATCTGGAAAAGTCAGGGAATTTCATACAACGATCCCGCCAAAAAAGGCGAGTTTTGCGCCGACGTCGGAAGAGATCACTTTTTTGGTGAATTGTGTATCACGTGAGTGTCATTCGGGCAGCTGGTATAGAGCCAATTTTCGCAGCTCCAATTTGATTGTCTTTTAGAAAGGCAAAGCAAGTTTCCCGCAACGTTTGTTTCCAGTAACCTCGAGAATCGCATGTGCAGTGCATGAACTAAAGAAAGTACCTGTTCTCGTATAAAACAAAATGGGTTTAATCCTAGTATACGGTACATGAAGGTTAGAGTCAAAGAATATGTATTATAAATAAGGAAAACCTCTCTGCAACAGACCGTTCTTCTCCATTCCATCATAGAGGGAAACAGCTGTGTATGCGCGATATATCTGTCGCCAAAGCTCGAAACCGGTGTCGAAGTTCGAAGGTCACGTTATCAAGAGTTCATAAAATGAATATTGTTTAAAATTTCTTTAAACTCTAAAGGAAAAGAAAATATTTTTTGGCGCAAGTAAATTAATTCATGGATTAGTTATTTTGAGGTAAAAAAAAATACGAAAATCCGTTTTTAAAATTTTTGTGAAAAATCCAAGAAAAAACGTTCTTTGATAAAACGTTTCTTCTTGGATTTTTTGCAATAATTTAAAAACGCATTTTCGTAGTTTTCTTTTTAGTCAAAGAACGCTTCTTAACACGTGTTTCTCAATTTCCTGTACACATTGCGGAGAGGGAAATTCTGCCCGCCAGGTTACGTCGCCAAATCCCTTGGCTAATTTTCCCTCCGCTTTCTAGCGGCATAATAGCATTTACGTGTATGAAACCTTTTCTACTTTACATAGACGTTCTTTGGTTAGAATAATTTCCATGTATGGTACAGCGGGATTTGGCGACATGATTGAACGGCTCATTTTGTTCTTGGCGACAATTTTCAAAATCGTGCGAAGGCCATAATAACGTATACTAGGATTTTACCGCAAAATCTTTTTAAACCTTTTTTTTTTTTTTTTTTTTTTTTTTTTTTTTTTTTTTTTTTTTTTTCTTTTCTTTTTAATAAATACCTTGTCATTTTGCAGTATAATAAAAAATAGTAATCAGTCATCTAGGCTATCCATGTAATATAACTATATTCGCTGAAATATCGTTGATTATTCTAATTCAATTTTTAAGTAATTATTTTTATGTTATTCATATAATTTAATGTTGCTTCTTCCCTCTAAATTTATTTATCATTAGTAAATAATATTTCCAAATTTTAGGAAATTTTCTCTGGCACAATCCTGAAATTAATTCTAGCAGTATGATGACATACCATCACAAAATTTAATGCACTTATTTTTTCCTTATGTATGCTGCGAAATAAATATAAATACCTCAATTTATTAAAAAAAAATATCATTAAATGGATTTTTTTTCTTTCGTTTAGCTGCAGAATGTCTGCAAAAACAGCCGTATTTTATTCCAGATTGGGCAGATTCTAATCTCAATCTTTAATGGAGAAAACAACTCCTATTATAATTATATTTGTGTTTTCAAGTGTTAAGGTGCCTTTTAAAAAGACACCTCACACAAATTAAATTTACCTAAAATCTAACCTAACTATTTAGCATTGCGTTGTGATTTATAAGAACGGATTAGCCTTGTGTTGACTGGTGATGATCATGAGTATAATTAAATAAAACGTACATTTGTTATCCAATGTATATATCTTAAATTTTTTTAAGGTTCTTACAAAAAAAAGTAAAACAAACAAAATCAACCAAGTTTACAAGAATAATTAAGAATAAATGTCCATGGGATTTATGGATAATTAAGTGAATTTGCTATACAATACAAGTAAATACCATAATTAATTTACTTCTTAGCACAGCCAACGTGTAATTACGTGGATAGGACTGGAATTTTCTCGAAACATACCTGGAAAAGTCAGGGAATTTCATTCTCCTGTTTGAGTGGCAACCCTGAAACAAGCAGATCAAAAGTATAAGTTGGATCTCGGTATTATCCATGATGCTAAAGCCAAATTGTGTAGTTGCCTGAAATGAGAATTAAAATTATACAAATGAAATAAATTATACAAAGTGCTAATAGAAGTAGCCAGAAAAAATGACATGGAACTTATTGAACAGGCAGTTCAAGAATATATGAAGTTTAAGGATACAGTGGGGGTTAAAATATCCAATAAATTTAATCCCAAAATTATAATATACAAAATTTCATCAAATGTCCCAGTAGAACGGGAGATATAAAATTGTCTCATTTGTGTGTGTATGTGCAGAGTGTACTTTTGCTACAACTATAAATTTTTAAGTATTTAGCCATGCTACAAATGAAAATACAAAGCATTTTTGTCAGTAAGAAGTTGTTTACTTTCTTTCTGAAGGTAAGAAAAGTAAAGAAGAGGGGGGGGGAAGTTAAACTAAGTGCTTTACTAAAATATAAGTGATAATTATGTCTATTTCCTGTATTCTGTAAATTTTTATAATTCTGATATTTTAAATGTTGGTATATGCAATTTTAAGGTAGCACAAAAATTAAATTTTATCTATTTAAATAACTTGTAATAGTACATTTATTTATTGCACTAGTGTTTATTCAAATGTCGTGAAAAATATTAACTTTGTATAAATTAATCCTTTTGAGTTCTAATACCGTCCTCTTTCTTAATGGAAGATTAGATAGATTTATCTGAAAAATTCAGTACAGTGGTATATGAATGCTTATGTTTATTCATAAGCCTGTAAATAATTTAATCCTCTGAATAACTGGAGTACAACGACTCACAAGTTCTTTTTGAAAATTAGATATTGAGGATATCCAAAAACTTCAAACTTCAGGTAACTCAAACCTATGTGATTAAAAATGAATATTTTAATTTTACAGCCACAAAGACATTTGACAAATATTGTGTATGAAAGAATGTCCACTCCTTGCACTTCATAATCTCATCTACATTCTAGCCACATGAACTGTTTCAACACTATGCTGCTCTAGATTGAGATGGTTAAGAAAGAGTAGTTGAAGAAAATATTGCTTACAGTATTTGTAAAAATGTAAGAAATCGTCAGTCTTAAAGAAGCAAAAATTAAAATAATTACATTAAGAAACCAATAGTTCTGATCAATTTTCCTAGATTAAAAAAAAATCATTTTGCAGAATGTTGGATTGCTTAAAATGTTATTTCTAATGAGAAGTTTGTAAAATTGTCTTTCTATAATACTAACTGCATAATTTAGCTTTAAAAACTATAAATTGAAATTATTCACAGAAATACCACATTTAACTTTTCTATGTGGCAACTGTTAAGTATCTTGAGTGAATTTTTAATAATTTTTTCATGATTTCACAGGAAGAAAGCTTAGGTGAATCTCAAAAACGGCTTATTCAGGAGGAAGAAAGCAAACTTTACTTTGAAAAAGATCGTCTTAAACAGGAATCCAACCAGTTGGAAAGAGAAAGAGAATCATTGGAAAGAGAAAAACAAGAATTAAAGAATGAAAGAGAGAAATTTAATGAACTTCATTTATCTGTTAAAAGAAAAGCTGATGAAGTTGAAGAAATGGCTTTGGTAGGGTAATTATTTACATTTCATAATTACTTTTCTAGTTTGAAGGAAATTATTCTAATCCTGAATATTTTATTTATTTCTTTCATTCCCTTCTTTGTTCTTTTTTTTTTCCCTTCCCCTTTCTTTTTTGAAATTTCTGATAAAAAAAGCAATTCTTTTAATTGCTGAAAATTAACATATGATCTATCCTGAATTTGAAAATACAAAATTTGAAAATACTCATTTATGTATTTAGTTATTTATTTCATGGAAAGTGCTGAGTTTTTTACTTGACCTACTAAAGCTTATTTATGTATTTAGTTATTTATTTCTTGGAAAGTGCTGAGTGTTTTACTTGACCTACTAAAGCTTATTTATGTATTTAGTTATTTATTTCTTGGAAAGTGCTGAATGTTTTAAAAACTTAACAGAAAATCTTTTTATCAGAGTATTCTTGAAATTTGAGCTGTGGGGATAAGGGAAGAATACCAGGCAACATAAAAATTTAATAATAATAATTTCATCCATTTAGATTAGTTCTGATGTATCTTTAAGTAAACTTTTTGTTTTTGACTGCCTGCTCTATTTTTCAAATCCAGATTCATTACTTCTGAATTAAATTGTTATGTTATAGCATACAGTGAAGGTTCTGTGAAAGGAATACTCTGCAAAAGTATCTTGCCATATACATCTGTGTGCTCAGGACGGTGTTTGGCTGTGGACTGTAGCAGATTCACATTTACCTATGCATATGTTTGCCAAGAGCTTAGTGGTACAAAATGCAGTCAAATCCTGCTTTATAGTGAACTTGATTTATAATAAACCTCTACAAGCAAACCTTTTGTCCCCTTCAAATTTTCTCTGCACTTTGTTACTTTTTACAAATACAGTGAACTCCAAATGAATGATAATTAGATATAATGGACTTTATGGATATCTTTGACTGATTTTTTAAAAATATTTTTCCAGAATTTTTAGAAATAATGACTCTTTGGATAAAGTAATTATAAATGCGTATAAAAAGGTATGAACAGTGACTTTTATGCTAGTAATTTATTTTTTAAACTTCTTGTGAAACTGAAAAAAAGAAAGGGAATCAAATTTAATAATTGCATGTAATTATAATTAACAATTCATGTAATTTTTTTAATGAGAGATTAGAGTAGAATAGAATGTGTCTTAGAATGTGTAGTATGTAGACAGATGTAACAACGCTATTTTGTGATACATCTGTTGACTTTTACACCTTTTTATGAAGTAATCCTTTTCTCTCTCTCTCTTGGATCTGATATAACCAACCACTAGATAAAATGAAGCAAACTTTTGGTCTCTTGAAGTTCATCATAGTTGGGTTCAGTTTTACAACTGTAATTGACCAACCCTTGGTTTGAAAGCAAATTTAATTAATGGGATAATCTGTTCACCAAATGGCTTGTACATTCCTGTTCTCTTCACTAATACCTAGATTCTATTGGCATAGGCTATGAAGAATATAGCCTTTATCAATATGATGTTTATGGAAGTTTAATTGGTAAACAATTGTTAGGCATAAGCTGAAACAAAAATCCGTCTGCATAGTACAAAAGGCTGTATTTTTGTTTTGATTCATATATTATCTTTTAAAAGTTCTTGCTAGAAACCAGTATCATTGCTAAACCTGCACAGTTAATAATCACAGCACTTCATTGATTAATTCGTAGATAAACTCATAGCATAATTCTTTTGAGTGCCTTTCAAGCAGTACAAAACATAATGTGGCTTGGGGACCACCTGGAAATTCGTAGAGCTTACAAGAAGATGTGCCATATGCACTGACTGTTCTGATCGCTGATCTGTAATTCTTAAGAATAGGCTTTTGTACACATAGCTTTAAAGTGAATGAGAGACATGCAAATAGTTTTGCTTCTAAGCAAGTTCATATTCATTTCTATAGAATGGGATAAGAAATCTTTTTGAACAATGCTAGTACAAACAGGGTTTAATTAACTAACTTTTGCCTTTATAAGAAATAAGTGTTCATAATATACTTCTGAGTAGCAGAAGCTTCTCAGCAACTCAATGTATGCATTGACTTCAGTTTTAACAGATGTAATAATTTGCTGCCAGAATATGTGTTAGATAATAATACCACCATTGCATACTTGAATGCGATTGAATATGAAAGTGTTAAAAGACATTGCCGATATATTGTAAAATCATAGAAATATTTATTCTAGCACTAAAAGTGCTACATAATGTTTATTTTGCTGATGTGTAAATTCTAAAACAAAGTTTTAGATCATTCCTAATGCAAATTCCTAAAAGCAATTTTTTTTTTTTTTTTTTTTTTTTTTTTTTTTTTTCTAATTTGTTTTCTGATTGATGAAATTAATAGAATGTAACTCTTTTCTGATACTTGTTTGTTACTATTTTAATATTTTAGTACCTGAATAAAGCCACTCAGTTAATATGTAGCTTAGTGCAGCTAACTTCCACACTGATGAGCTAAGTTTCAAAAACAGTGTAAGGCAGGTGTCCCAAACCCAAATTGCATGTAGGCTGAATACGTAGTCTAAAAACACCTGACAGACCATGATTTTTTTTTTTCTTTCAAAAAACAAAATGACAAATTTTATTAGCAAAATAAAAAAATATTTAAAATTTTATGTACTAAATATTTATTAAAACATGCATCAACAATAATAATAATAATATTGCAAAGAAACAATTCAAATTTATTTTCTATTTGAAATTTAAAATTTGGTACCTGTAAAACATCTGTGTTAGTTGTACTTTGTAATTCAAATATATTGACAGCTAAATATTAAATTGTCAGACTGAGGTCTTATAAATAATTTTAACATGTCTAATTAATCATTAAGTAACTTTATTTTAATGTAAGCTAAAAATAAACAAATTACAAAACTTCCTAAATTTTCAGAGAAAGAGTAAGTAGGCTCTTTCTCTTATTAATTAAAATATGTTTTGTAGCTTTTAATTCTACCCTATTATCATTTTAAAATCAATGTCATAAATTATATGCATAATTATCTGTTACTTTAAATTATAAAATAGTCTTAGATTGTAATTTTAATAAATGCTGTTTTAACAAATATCTTTTAAAAATAAAAACATTTTTTTAGTAATGACTATAATAAATGGAAAATATCTCACTACATAATTTAATTATTCTTAACTAACTGCTTACCCTTAGAAGTTCTCTCTGCAAGTTAAGATGAGTTGTCCTTTTTCCTTATCCTTACTATGGATGCAGGTAGATGTGGTGAAGTTACAAAAATGTAAAATTTAACATAAAACTTTATTACTTACAGTTAGTGAGTCTTCAAATAATACAAAACATTTTGTTACCTTTAGTCCTTCAGTGGCTTATTGGAATTTTATAGTATATTAACTCTGTTACATCTCCAGCAATTCTGTGTGAACCTACAGTACAGACTAGGTCAGACAGAAAAGGCACTATTAGCCCTTACCAACCGTGCCTATGTTTAGAATTTACATCTCTTCTAGTTAGTCTGTATCTCCCTCTCTCTCTAGGCAAGCAGCAGCAGTGGTATCAGCCATGCTTCTATAGTAGATGCTACTTAACACAATCATGTCTAACCATGGCTGTTTTGATAACATTAAGCGATGAGAAAAAATATCCCTCAAAACAGCAGTGGAATTTAACTAATTTAATACAAACCTAAATAAAAACTTACATACTTTCACGATATTTTAATTAGGAAAATGTAAAAGTTTGTTTATGAACAATTCTTAATGTCATTAATGCAATAGTTTGCAATGTATCTGGAAATTATTTGACCGATGCTGTATCCATAATCTTACTTGGAGGGCATCCTTAATTAGAAAAGAATGTGGAGAACTTTAATACCAGTTCCAAAAGATGATGCTAGCAGTTTTCTCATACTCATCCAATAGAGAGGAGAATTTGTGACTGACCACCAATAGTTCATTTTGGGTAGTGAAGAACCGAACTAAATTCACTCTGGTCATGCAATATTGGCTGCTTTCCCTGCAGTATTCTTGCTACTAATATAGATTCTCATTTGTGATTATTATTTGATTGTGCCGAGTGACTTACATCTGATGTTTATTTTTGTTAGCTTTTATATATGCTAACTAATGTATTTTTTAATCTAATTAAAATAATGGATCTAAAAATAGGTTTATCCTCTTTACCCTTACATTAACACATCTCAACGGAATGGTGACTCAACATTCAAGGTAAAACATGAGAAGAACATATCAATGTAGAATTTAAAACTAAGCAAAAAAATCTGATGTGTACACCACATGACTTCCTTGTACGGAATATTAAATTATATGCATTTTTTCTTGCATTTTATTTCAACTTATTGGATGGAATTAAATCTACTCCATCGATAGCGCATAAACCACAATAGAATAAATGCACTCTTTAAAATTCACTACATTTTTTTACCATAGCGACACTCTGGCATTAGGTTCACTTAACAGCGTTATATTTCATTCATATTATAACTTAGAATGCACAAAATTTATATCATTTGAAGAATTATCTAATCTTTGCCACATGTTCTATTCAAATACTATAATAAATGTAGAACGATGTATAAAAGAAATCAAGCAAACAAAAAAGAAAGTTTTTCACAGACAATTTAGTATTTCTCATTCAATTAATTCAGTTCTCCCTTCGCGACAAGGCAAAAATACATAAAAACTCAAAATATCTATACTAAAAATTACGCAGTAAATATTAAACACTTATTTCCTTGAAAAAATTCCAGAAAGGATTAAGCATGATTTAATTCACAATAATAAATGAGGGCATTATCTTTGATGTTATGAAACTTAGTCTCTCTAGATTGGCAACAAATCTATTATTCTGCTCTTTCAAATGTAAACAAGTATGTCTGCTATGTTATTTAAAAATTAGGCTTAACTACACTTAAACAGCATTTAAATTGTTGATAATTGTACAAATATTGCTTGCAGATTTACTAAAGGAATAAAAACCTTAACTAGAAGATAAGAACAACATAATTCAATCATTTTTAAAGCAAAAAATGCACAATTTACAAACATATAAGAGTAAAGAAACTGAGATCACTGAGATGTAAAAAGTAATATTAGTTTCTCATAGATTTTTTCTTTCAAGAAAAAAGAAAAATTTCTGTATATATAATATATATATATATATATATATATATATATATATATTTTTCTTCTTCTTCTTCTGAAAAAGAAAGATTTATGTTTGATTGCCCTCAAAATCGATAGAGTTGTCCAGAATATACCTCAGACTAAGGTTGCTTTTTTGCCTTGTTTTAAATGGTTTACTGAAACTGAAACCAAGATATTTGGTGACTTAACACCTCATTTGGTGACATTCTCTGTCACTTGGCAATTTTTATCATCTGTTTTGGCATTATTTTTTTAATTTTCGTTAAAAAATTATTCTATAATAATTTGTTCACATTAACCAAATTGTTGATTAAATAAGCAATGTATTTTCCATGTGTTCACATACGAAATTCTAGGACTTCGGTAATTCAATCGTATGAAGTGGCATCTACTGCATTATGAATCATGCTGATTATGATTTTACTTAACCTGTGCTTCTGAGCATAAAACCTTCATAAACCTGAGGACTGAGTTAGTACATGGTAAAACAAGGCATAAAAGAAAAAATTAACATAAAGCTACCTGTTAGTAAAACTTCAAAAAATATTGCAATTCAATGCTAGTTGTTTGATAAATTTTGCATAGTTGGTTTTTATCTCAAATTTGTTTTATAATTATGTTAAATATTAGATCATGTTTAATAATGATGGATTCTACTGTGTTATTCGTACCATGGCATTACAAAAGTGAAGTTCAGCATAAACAATGAAGTTTGATTTATTCAATTCCCGTTTGCTGATAGGTCCTTTAAAGTATTTAAAGTACTCAATATCCATGTGCAGAAAGTTGTGCGAACTGTATTTGTGGAACATTTGTATTGTATGAACCCTGTATTTCCATCATTGAAATGCCCCTGCGGGCTACATAAAATTATTTTGGGGAATGCATGCAGCCTGTGAACCAATCACCTGCTTGAGACTACTGAGGTAAGGCATGAACATTTGTGTGACTGATCCCAACTTTCTAAATGCAGTGTCAGTCTACTGGATGTGGTACATCCTAGATGACTTTCTGTGTGCAGAAATGGAGTGTAGAGTAGGTCTTGCCACCTTGAATAAATAGCTGATTAACTCTGTCAGTGTTATAGACATAAAATTCCATAGAAAATGGTGGCTTTCATATTCATTATACATGAAAATTTATGCCAGCTTATCCGAGTTTGGGTTGGATGTATATTGGAAGAAAAGAATCAAGGTACAAAATGAGTCATTTTTTTAAAATAATAAAAAAAATCTATTTATTCTTAACATTTTGAGGAAATTTGAAATTTCAGGGCTAAACAAATAATGCTTGGAGGGTTAACAAATACTTGGCCTTGGAGTTTATATAAATAGAAGCACTGTTGGATTTTATACTCAGTTTTAATAAAATCAAAAACAGACTGAAGTTAAAAAAAAAACATGAATATTTAAATTTATGTGTGATTCTCAATGAAAGAAGGCTGCATTGTTTAAGGCAAAGCACAGTTTAAGGCAAAGGTATGTCATCTCAAATTTTAGAGGTAAGAATCTACATGCTGTGTATCTCTCTTCCTTTAATACCAATTTTTAGAGGACTTTGGGATCAACAAATTTCAAAACTGTTCCCATTTTATTCATAAACACTCATGGCTTATCTGAGATTCAGATCTCAGCCAACGGTTTGCAGTCAGTCATCCTTAGTTAACAGGCACACCATCTCATGTAGTTCTAAATAAATGATTATTTTAAAATTTTTTATTTTACAGAGTTCACTAGAAAATTACATTATTTATTAATAAAGTATACTACAGAATGTTCCTCATTTTGTCAGCAGACTTTTTTGTGGAAAGCAAATGATTTTGTTTTATTATATTTTGTAATTATATATTTGTTTTATACTTTTCTATCAATACTAAAGGAGCTATTCTTTATGGATATATGTTTTAAATCATGCATTAGTAACTCAGGCATATAAATATGACTGGGTTATTTAGTTAGGGAAATAATGCAAAGGTTGTCTACCTAAGAAAAAGCCTGTGTAAAGCATTCAGACATAAATAAGAGGGAAACTTTTTAATTTGATTTGTTACACAAATAATTCATGATCCTATGATAATTGGTAATAAATATTTATTATTTTATTTTTAATGGTAAACAACATTTTCTCCCTTTTAGTTATCATATGATGAAATTTCCTTCATTAAAATTAAGTTAAGCATGCACTTGTTGCTATCCTTGTGATGTGTTTTACATTTTCATATGCCATGATCTATCTGCATATAAACATTTATAAAAGAAATTAAAAAATTTTATCCAATATTGTGTTTTTAATATATTTTGATATATGTCACTGAAGCATTGAGTCAGATACATTTATGTAATACTTTCTGTAAAAAAAAAAAAATTAATTCTTTTTTTCTTAAATATTATATCATGTTTTAGTCAGCTAGAGAAGAAAGAGAACAAGCTCGGTTTGAACATGCTGCTGCTCTCAAGATTAAAGCTGAACACCATTCTAGAATGCAGCAAATTTCTCAACAAATGCAAATATTAATGGAGAAGCAAAGAGAACTGCTTGCAGTTTGTATAACTTTGCTATATACTATACTTAAAACTGTTCATGAGTGATGAAGGAGTACAATGATTAGATAATATATCATTATATGTATTTGTAAATAATTTGCACATCTAGTTATTATCAGAATAATGTTTCATGTATAAAATATATTGACAGAGAGTGCCTTGCCCTGAATCAATAGTTTTGCTCTAATTCTATTTAAATTTTTTCAATAAATCAGCTTTTCATAAAGTGTCTTTTATACTTTTAAGTTATGCACCTTATATTTAGATTATCTACAAATTAAAAAATATTTTTGATAAAAAGCTGCATAGTTTCTTAAGTTTTTCATCAATTATAATTTTTTTTTTAATTGCAAAAACTCGTATCTGATTCATCCAATATGGCAATTAAGAATTCTTGTTTTAAGATTTCAGAAACATATCTATTTAAAAAATTTCAAAACTAAAATTAGCTCTGAAATGTTGATTGATGTATGTTTTAGCAATTTTTGAAAACTTGAATATGGTATTTTTATTTCATGTTTCAAACTTGAGCATAAAAAAAAATCAGGAAATAAAATTATCATACATGAATATGAATGTAGAACTCAGAATCTCATATATGAACACAGAATTCGGTATAAAAATATATTTTATCTTTTTAGAGAGCAAGAAATATAGAAATGCCTCAAGAAACAAATTTTTTTATTATTATTGCAATGACTGGAGCAGTTTTTCAAGTAGCCTGATCACTAAAAAATCAAAAACAAGCATACAAAAACATTCATAATGAGGAATGATTGCATCTGAAAAAAAATGACAACCGTTAGAAGAATGACCATTATGATAAGAATAATTAATCTTCATAAATGTTGTCTTTCATGACAAGTCCTGGTATTTTAATAAATACTATGATTAAAACTGAATTATGAAAGCACTTGTTGCAATCCTTGTGATATGTTTTGAATTTTCATATGTCATGATTTATCTGCGTGTATATTAACATTTATATATTTTGCATGAAAAATCAAATCTGCATATATATTAACATTTATGTGTTTTGCATGAAAAATCAAGAAAAACAATAATATTTTTTATTATTATTATTTTTTTATTTGTTTTATTTTTTTTTTTTTTTTTTTTTTTTTTTTTTTTAATGAATGTGCATCTATTATTTAAATAATTTCTACATTTATAGAATTGTAAGAAAAGTGAAGAAAAATGGAAGAAAGCAAAATATTACATGAGACAGAAAATATTTTTTTAATTTATAAAAAAGTTATATTTACTCGTTTAAATATGTGTATTATTTCATATCGTTTTCATAAAATATGCTAATATATTAATTTAATGCTTTATGTTAATATTAAAGTCTGAAATTTAATACAAGGGCATTTAGTATTTGATAAAGATACAGAGTTATCATAAAGAAGGCAAAGCATTTCACCATTTATAACAATAGATGTACTTTCTTACAGGAAAAGGAGAAATTATCTGAAGAAAAGCTTGAACTGGAGAGAAAGAAAAATTCTATATTGTGTAATCGATGTAAACTTTCTATTGAATTTCCAGTAACTGGTGAGTATTCATAATGCATGAAACTTGGAATATATAATCCTTATAAGTATCTAATACTTTATAAAGGATATCTCTATACACTACTCAGTAATATATATTTTTCTATTTTTATTTAAATACTATTTTGCCTAATTTATTATGTTATTTTAAATAGAGTATCTATTGGTAATTAGATATTGGAATATAACTCGGAGATATGTGTGCATTATTTATGTATCTTCTAAAAATGTAATTTCTTTATTTGTAGTATTTTCATTTTACTATGATTTGCTTTATGTACAAATTTAATGATACCAAGACTTATTGTATTAGGAAACTCTTGCTAAAAATTATGATATTTTAGCTAGAACTATAACAGGAATGTAAATTTCCTTCCTTCAAAATAAACATTTGATAAAATGATCTTTAAAATATTTTATTTTAACCATAACATAAAAAGAATTATCAGCAGAATATTGCTGAAGGTAGATTACATAATGTTATGCCATGCCACTTCCAGAAGACAATTATGCAACCTTCTTTTTGCACTGTCATTCCAAGCTGGGATGGAGAGGATAGCAAAGTCCCCTCAGCAAGGTCAACCACATAATGAGAGGATAAAAAATAATACAGTTTTTTTATTTGTTAGGGAACTTGGTGATCATTCACTAGGTACAAAATGTATCTATAAGTATACCTATGAAGTATATTTTTTGATGTTGTCATTTTAAAAATATGGCAGTATGAAACAAAAAATATATAATTATCATAGCTATTTCCTTTTTTATTTTTATGGTAATATTTAAATACTATTATTAAATTATATATTGCACATAAAAAATGAATATTTCACTTGTATGTTTTGATTCCTCCCTCTTGTATTTAATATTTCCTTTGAACTAGTAAATACATGAGGTAACAATTCTTATCATTTTTTTCCTCTGTTACTTCCTGACAGTATTCGTAAAGTAGCATTTTCCACTTCGATCATACAGTCATTTAGAATGTTGAAGAACATACTTATTAACAATATATTTCTAAAGTATTGACACCTTTTTTTAAAGAGTTGATACTTTAGAGCAGGGGTTCTCAACTGGTGGTATGCAAGAGAAAAATAGATGGTACGTAAAGAAACAAAGTATTTTTAACTATGAAATTCAAAAGTTAAAACCCCAACATCCTGATTGAGTTTTTTCTCTGATACACGTAATTTTATGCAATCTGGGCTTTGTTCAAGAGTGGTGGTGGTACTAAAGGTTTTCAATTTTTGTTTAGATGGTACGCGTTAGTCAAAAGGTTGAAAATTGCTGCTTTAGAGTTTTGGCTGAGAAAAACACTAGCTAAAACTGTTTATTGATTATGGAATTACTTTTGATAATTTGATCTTTAAATTTCATGGTACACTTGGAAAACATAAAATGAAACAAAATTTCAACTTAAGGTTGGTATCAGTTTAAAAAAAAGAAAATGCTACATGTAGCTAGACAGATTCTGAAATATATTTTTGTTCTTGAAAGAGAAAATTCTACAAGTTTAATTCTTTTATCTTCTAGGTATGCAATCAGTTAATACAGTACCGATGTCACCAGCACGCAAGGTTAAGGAAATTTCAAATCATATTCCACAGTCTAGTATTGATCCTGGTCTAGTGCTGTGGTATATTTCAGCTCAAAAGGTAAGATTTTTAATAAAGAAAGATGGAATTTTTTTAAATTTTTTAATTATGTAGCATAATCTACACTAATTTTCTCAGGTAATTTCCAGCACATGCTTCATTCTTTATGCTGGAAAGCTGTAACGTACATTTTGATAGAATTATAAAAATAATCTAATCTTAATGAATACTTGTACAACACTTTTTTACACATTTTTTTACATAGCCCTTGTTCTTATTGATTTTTCAGAGCCATCTTGGCTGCTTCCCAGGCAGCATGCATTCGTAAATTGCACGAGAAAAATACGTGCAATTTACAAATGGCCTTTCGTATAAAAAACGTTCAAGTTGAACGTAAAAATATCATAAAAAGTGTCCAGTGGCAATTACTAAATATTTACGTATATTTTTACGTTATACTATACGTAACTTTTACGTAAAATTTAGGTATATTTACGCGAGAGACTACTGTTCATTCGCAACTTTTATGTATAATATACGTAAATTTCAGGGATTTACGTATATTTTAGTAAAATTTACGTATATTTTCGCATATACGTAAATCTCAATTTTTTGCTTCACGTATGCGTATATATTTAGTAAAATTTACGTAAATTTCCCCGATTTTTACTGTATATAAACGTATATATTGGGTAAAATTAAGGTAGATATTCCCCGTATTTTTACGTACAAAACCGTATATATTTGATAGAAATTAACATACATATTTCCCGTAATTTACGGTACAAAAACGTATATATTTGATAGTAATTGACCTAAATCTTCCCTATGTTTTCTTTGCATATGCGAATGACTGGTAAAAATTTAATCCAATGTATTCTCCACTTTACTGTGTATAAATGCACATTTTTTGGTAAAAAATTTGCATAAATCTTTACCTTTCACTGCATTTTTCATAAAATGTACTTATTTTAATCTCATATTTTTTATATAAATCTATGCAAAAACTTTCTGTATGCTATGATTAAAAGGTAAAATAATTTTTTATTCAATTCTTACATATCTGCCTTTTAGTTATGTACAGCAATATGGAATATATATAACTGGAAAATTTAAATGCACTAGTAAATGCAAAAAAAAAAAAAAAAAAAAAAAAAAAAATTTCTATTAAAAAATTACATAACACTTAAAGGCTTCATTTCAAAGTGACTACAAAATATGCAATAAATTTAGTAAACATCAATTCTGTGTTTTAAATCAATTAATGCCATCGTTCATTTGCATTTTTGTTTACTAAATTCATTTCATAAATTTAATTTTACTAAAAAACTGTAGCAAACAGTTGTTTACTAAATAACACTTTAAATAAATTATTTGCTTTTCTGAAGGACATTTTCTTATGCCATGTAAATGAACGATAGCATTAATTGATTTAAAACATAGAACTCAGGTTTACAAAATTTATTGCATATTTTGTAGTCACTTTGAAATGAAATATTAAAAGTGATTTTCAGCCTTTTAGTGTTATGTAATTTTTGAATAGAAATTAATTGTTTTGCATTTAAATTTTCCAGTTATATATATTCCATATTGCTGTACATACCTAAAAGGTGGATATGTAAAAATTTGATATTAATTTTATCTTTTAATCATAATATGCAGAACATTTTTGCATAGATTTATATAAAAAATAAGAGAGATTAAAATAAGCACATTTTATGAAAAATGCAGTAAATAGGTAATTGGAGATTTATGCAAATTTTTTACCAAAAATGTGCACTTATACACAGTAAAGAGGAGAAGACATCGGACTAAATTTTTACCAAAGTCATTCGTATATGCAAAGAAAACATAGGGAAGATTTAGGCCAATTATTATCAAATATATAAGTTTTTGAATCGTAAAACACAGGGAATATCTACATTAATTTCTATCTAAAGTACAATATAGTTAATTAACAAATTCAGTAAACGAATGTAGCACAAAAGAAAACATCATACGTTTAGATTATTTGAATGAGTGTGCTAAATTTTAAAATTGTTAAATATAGACCAGGAAACTGTAGGAAAACTTACCTTTTCCAATAGTTTACCAAGTTGACTTTGTTATTTTCCTTGAAGATGAATGTTTAATGTCACAAATATTTCATTCATATCTTCAGATAATACACAAATCTATACATATTTATTTATTAAAATTCAGTTTATTCCCAAACATGTTAAAGAAAATATTAATTTGCATGCAAGTTAATCGAGTAACTTCTGTTTTAATTACACACATATTATGATATGTAAAAATTTTGCATTTATCAGTCAATCTTGCAATGTATTGTAATCTATTATTGTTGTCTTTTTTCAGTTTAAAATCTTATAAATATATTAGATCAGTACTAAAAGTTCACCTCTACAAAAAAAAAGAAATGCTTTATTGAGGTATTTTTTAAAAAGTTCCCTTTTACATGTAACTGTTAATTTCATAAATAAGTTCATAAAATTATGCAATTCAAATTACCTAATATGTTCTTTATTTTACCTTATATACCAGATAAAATTTTAAAAAGTTAAATTGTTTAAGAATATTTAAGTTTTTAATATTTATCTCATGTGACTTTTTCTATAACATCATTATAAATGTACATGTTGATGTGCACATACCAATTTTTTTTTTTTCATCAAATAGCTTTATGGTATTAATGATTTAAAAAGAGGCAACTGGACAAAAGAAAGCAATTAGAAGTTGGCTAATTTTTTTAATTTGTTTGTCAAATGCTGTGCATTTTAGATTATGCTCATATGATGCAATGAGTTATTTAAAATTATAAATTATTATGAACATATCCCACAAAATTAACAAGTATAAAATTTCAAGTTGTTTGAAGTATTATGAACTGTAATACTTGCAAAAGAAATACACATGAATTAATATTTAAGAATTAGGTTTATTTTACAGGTATTCGAAAACTGCAATTAACTGTTAAACAATAAAAACTAACATTAAATCTGAAGAGCATATTTTTTTCAATAATAAAATTCCACATAGACTTCATGTAGCTTCGCCATATTGTTTCTATAGTTCGCTGTCTTTTAATATCCTGCTCGATTTTTGTAAAAGTGAATTCTTTGTCACCCAAGGTTTTGAGAACAGCTCCTAACAAGAAAAAGAAAAATTTGTAATAATTTCACACTTCAGATGTTTTTAGTTTTTAAATAAAGTTGAAGTATTAAAAGATGCATATAAAATGCACTGAGTATTTCATATTTAAAAATTTACATTTCAGTAATTAAAAATTTAATTTCATACAATCACACAGTAAGCTTCAATTATATACCTTACACAATGCCTATAATTTCAAGTAAAAAATACTTAAGATTTGTTTAGAACTGCAAGGTTGAGAAAGTCTTTAGTATTTAAGTACATGAGAAAAAACTTAATTTTGCATTAATTACATTGCATTAGCCTTTTCAATTTTACTCCTACATATAGTAAAGAATATTCGCTTTCTTACAGATAACTTTTTCTTAAATAAAGAGTAAGCAGAAAACTAATCACAACCCTATATACATATAACAGAATACTTCATAAACATATACATGTCATTAACCATACGTACATGCATTAACAGGCTATTTTACACATTTCAATAAACCAGAAATCCAATACACAATCAAAAGTATTATCACTAATTCCTCCAGAATCAGAACACAAATCTTTAATTATGATAACAACGGCATCTCAGTTTGCAATATATAATATTTTAAGTCTACATTCATGTGCATTCTCAGCAAAACAAGAAAGCGAACCGAAAGCTGAATAACAATAAAATTATAAATACCATAAAAAAGTTAAGAGCCACGTAGAATGATAGCAAGACTAAATGAAGTCTTCTTCAAAAATCAATTTAAACTCAAAATTTGCCTTCCTGTTTAACATCTCAAAATAGAGTTACTGCTTACACTAACTAAATTTCCTGTCTTGGCAAAATAAAAATTGTCACTTCTGTTGCAGGAAATATTTGCTGCAACTTTGTATGCAATAATCCAGTGAAAAAATTTTAATTGTGGCTTGAATATTTTCTTATTAAATAAATGAAAAAATTCCCACATAATATTAATTTATGATCCACATGAAGCTTTTTACCTCTACCATATCATGCAGCTATTTTAAAATATATACTCTCATATAAAAGCCCAGAAATTTTTTTACCAAATATTAATATAGTATAAATCATTAATAATCTTCTAAAAACAGCCCCAAAATTTCTGAATTGATACCCAAAACATAATTCTACGTAACTGTTAATGTATGCATTTGCTTGCACATACTTACAATGAATTATACACACAAAAAATTAACATATTAACTTTAATAAATTCTTAATTAGCAGGATGATCAATTTAAGGCAAAAATGAAAGAAATCTACCTGATGGAATAGTTGTAAAGATATATTTAAAAAAAAGCTAATATTGTTTATCTACACATGGCAGAAATTGAGTAAACTGTAGCAGATGGATTATTTATTAGGAATAGAAGTTAGATCAAAGTACCAAAGTCACACTAGGGCTTTAACCATTTGGGTGCAAAAAAAAGCATCTCAATTTAAAAAAGAAATAATTTAAAAAAGCTAACAGAATTTTATAACTTTTACAATCTAGTACAAATATTAGACACATAAACCACACTAAATGCCATATTTATGCATATTTTCCTTCTTTGTATACTTTACTCCTTTTTTTCAGGATATGATTTAGAAACAGAGTTATTGTAAAAATGTATACTGGTAAAAAAATATTGCTGAAACTGATAATCCTTTGAATTATATACTATAGTGCAAAGGGGGATGGAATATTTGACTAAATATGATAAATCAATTACAAACATTAAAAAATAACATGAAAAACTGAAAAAAGAAATTTTTTGAAATTATTTTTTTAAACTTATGGAAAGGACAGATAGTATTTCCAAACTTATTAAATTCAATTATATTTTACCTTCGCAAACCAATATTGGTAAGAGAGTTGTATTTAAAATCGGTGCTAAGCTAAAGCTGCTTTCTTGCCTAA